CTTTAGCAACTTTTTGGAGAAAATCACACAGAAATAAGAGTTACGAACTTTTAAAAATGTTTGCATGATTTCATTTTTGGTTATTGAAAGTGAATTATGATTGTTTCAGGCTAGGCAACTTGTTTGGGTCAACCTCTTCTCAGTGAGAAGTGACATAGGCCAGTGTTGGAAGATGGAGAATTTATACTCCCGTGATCTTGTTGGCCATGAACGTGATCTACAAGGTTTGAACATTTTGAAGGCCCTATTCTGCTAAAGGAATTCTTCTACTTTCTACCGATTAGGAACACTTCTTTTTGATTAATTGTTGCAAAACGAAATTTGCAGCATTTAAAGATCACTTGCTTTTCATGTTATCCTTTCTCCTGTTTATAATCCAGTAGCCAATTCCCTTCACAGCTAATTTATATATTCTTTATCTATGGCCTTACATTTAACTTCTTCTTTTTCTTGAAATTAGTATTGGCACTGCTTAAATATTCTTGCCACTTATTCCCATTTATATTAATAAACTCTTCTTTTTTCCCCCTGTAACGTATATGTTTCTCCTATTCCCAGAAACCGGTGAACGTGTGGGAACCGTTGTTTAATGTTTTTTGACAATGGAGGAAGTGATCTTTACAGGTCATGCTCTACCAATCTGTGGATGTGCTTGGCGAAGTTGAGAAGTCAATGATCCATCAGATATGGGTTTAATCTGGTCCACTCGTGTGGGGTTACCATTTGTTGACGCAATTGTTCCAGATGCTAAGATATAACTAAAAGAGAATGTGGATTACAGCCCCCAAAAGGACTATCTTGAAGTTTAAACATACGCTCTGATAAGAGGTCCAAGAAAGAAAAGACGCCAGCTTGTGAACGGCATAACCTCACAATACTCTCCAATTTATTTCTTAAAGAATAAAATTTTATCTGAGTGACTGCTGTTCTAAGTTATTAAAAATGAATGTATGCATTATCATTTTGAAAATATAACATTTGACTATTTCAACTTTTTCGCATTTTCTTTGATTTCGAAGAATAAGTGGTCGTTGACAATGAATAATATTTTCTGTTTTCTGGTCATAACTGTTTAAAGAAACCTTTTGATTGAACAATCCTTTTAGTTTGTTTATTTCCCTGAAAGTGGAAGGAAGCTGCTGGAGTGGATCTAAGTGTCGATCTCCAATTTGTCTTTAAAGTACTGTTTAAATCAAGGATGCACTGGTTGGTACACATGTGGCTAAAGTTAGCCCATGTTTTGATATCATTGGCAGGAAACTGGAAAGAAAGGAAAAAGTTATCAAAGAGCAGCCTTATAGCAGCGAAAAAAAAGCTGTCTGAATGGAGCAAAAACATGTATTTGATGGGCTTAGATATGGGAAAAAATCCCAAATGGAGGCCTTTACGCAGATGAAAGATAGTTGGGTGATAAATTGCCAAATTGCTTCAACAGGCACTGCAAAAATAATAAGAGATACCCCTCCAACGAGGTGAATTTGTTTTTTAATTAAACCTAAAATACACGCAGCTTTTTGGTTTGATAATTTTTTTAATCTAGAGGTTAGTTATTTGGGAAAATCTTCTTGACGTAAAGCAGTTTTGAAAGCCATTGGAGCCAAACTTGTTGATGTGAAACACATGAACGCTTAGACCTGTTCATGATGTATAAGATCTAAAAGAAATGGTATGTAATAATATGCTTTGGTTAAGGTAATGTGACATAATATTTTTAGAAGTGTGGAACTTAATAAGGAGATACCTTCTTTTTTAGAAATAACTGGTTTATTTGTCTTCTCCATTTATGAGCCATCCTTGTGCTGTTAATTCTATCAATCTGTATTGTATTTTGCCTAAAGAACAATGGTAGGCTAGTTTTCATTAAGCATAAAGTTCAATGGAAGACATTTTGTAAACTTCTCTTTCTCGATCTGATATAGCTTGACCTATCTTTTGAATGTACTTGTATTAGTTTGGAGTGTTTACTGATTTTAATCAGTGCCACAATAATCCCAGCGAATAAAAGATTCTACATGAAGCTGTTCAAAGGAAGTGCCTTGCTCGTCTGTGTAGAGTGAAAAAGAATTTGACTGGAAATAATCCAATTTGGCACGAAGAGGAACTCCACCTTTTAGTTCGGAAGGCAAAGTCCGGCTCATTGTTTTAATACGATGGCTCGAATGAAAATTGAAGAAAGGGAAGAAGAGATGGCTAGCCCTGAATTCTTGTTGGCTTTATACACAGAGAGGATTCAAAGCTAATTGCTTTGCTTGAGCAATCACTATTAGATGTTCACACTTTTTAAAGGTGTTACTTTTCTTGAATTCCCTCATTAATAAAGCTTTTCTGGTTTAACCGGAAACAATTGAAGAAGTGAATTGGTTTTCAATTATTTTATTATTTGCAAACTTAATAATGTATTTTCTTCTCCCTCCTTGTTCCAACCGATTCGCAGCAAGTCTTTGGGCCAGCACCTCTGCCCATTAATTTATCAGTTGTTATGTAAACTAAGGAAACATGTTTATGATATGTATTCTGCAGTTTTTAAAAGCTTTGAAATGAAGATTCTTGCTTCATATGTCAATGTTCTGATATGGAATAGACAGATTAAATTAACTCTTGTTATCTTTAGAAAAAATAAAAAGAAGAATCATAATGAAGGACAATTAGATGAATGCGGATAAATATTAATGGGAAACCTCTTTTAAGGCAGGAAGAAACTAATAGAATTCTTTACATGTATAGTTAAGTAATATTATTGTTGCTTGTTTAGGCATAGATAGTATAAATATCAAATTAAGATGAATTAAATTGGAACAATATCATATCTTGACAAACCCTTTCTACTTCTAACGAAAAGTAGTATTTTTATCTTGCAGATGGAAGACCGTGCCATCCATGCCTTTGGTTTTTTGATTTGTCTCTTCCTGCGCAAAGAAATTGGGAGTCTTTAAAAAGGGCTTTTTTTCCAACATAATGATTGGTTTGGGTTCGGATACTGCTAAGGTTAGTGTCAACATTCTAATTTCAAACTCTGGTCAACAAGGACTTCATTCTAAAACTCACCTTGGCACAGTGGCTGTGTCCTGAAGTTGGTCAGTTTATGGCCTTCATCCACCATAGTGTTTCATATCATATGGACTTGGGGAAACAGTTTAAATCCGCAGAAAAAGTGGACTGCAGTCCCTTGCAAATAAATGCCAACTCAATGTGGCCCCAGCCACTTGTGTGTATTTAATAATGTGTCTTTGCCACGTATTAAGCTGAAAAGTAGAAAGAATTGCAATTTCCCCACGATTGTTCAAATTTTACCTTGTTTTCTCTGTACTTGTTTCTTACAAGGTGTGGTTTCTGGAGGAAGAGAAACTTCCATGTTGTTAGTAGTTCTGTAGAAGAACAGAGCAGAACATAAAAATTTTGATGAAGTCCCTGGGAATAATGAAACAACCAATCGGGGTCTTGGGGGTTAATTAGCTTGCTTTCGGTCACATTAATATTCCAGAAAACTCTCAAGTGAACTGGGTGTGGAGTAAATATGAGGTATGCAATTATTATTTTCAGAAAAGAAATTATGCCTAAATCACATTAATCTTTTGTTTCTATGTGGTTTTTCGATAATGTTTTTCTATCTTCCTTTCTTCCAGGTATGTGGCGGTTTGATGAAATTAATGTCATCGGGAATTCCTGACTTTTGGGTATGTTAATTTATGGCAAAGCAGAGATCGGTAATCCAAATAGTTGAAGAATATGAAGCTTCGGAAGAGGAGTTTTGAACATGGTATCTCCAACAAAATTCTATGAAGAAAGTGTGAACAAAGCAGGAATCAACAACCTTCCAATTCTGTACAGAGTTCTGAACAGGCAAAAGATTCTACATGTGAAGATGGTTTGATAAAGAGTGGAATTGGATAGTTGTCCCTATCATTCTCCAAACTCATAACCATTATCAGTTGTTCAATTCTAATAGTTGCTTGAATGTCTGTCCGCTAGATAAGAATTTTTGTGTAGTGAAATAACAGAATAAACTGATTAATGGCAGGTTAGATGTGCCATCTTCTTAGTCCTTCAAAATGTATCAAAGTTTATAGACAATCAATATATTTTATCTTTCTTAAAATAGTTTATTCTCTTGAAAATGGTTTAGACTGAATTGACAGAGGTGAGGAACAAAAGAGACGTAAATCAAAATTTTCATGATATTTTTAAATTCAAAAATAAATTTTAGATGCATTGTTCTCAAGATTAAATATCTTAGCAATCCTTTTATCTGTATTTTGTTTCAACTGTCATGTCATTCTATTAAATTTTCTGTTAAATAATATTGAAATATTTTCTAATGAGTCCACTATTTACCCATTCCTATAGCATTAAATAATTATATTATTCAGGATCTAAAATTAATCTTTAATAATACGTTGTATTTTAGAACGTTTTATTATTATATAGGTCGTTTGTTGATTAATGAAGGGACTAATAACGGGAAGAAATTATAAAATAAAAGATCATTAATTTTAATTTTTGAAAATAAATGATTCAAACTTTGTAATATGCTACAAATACTTGGATTAAAAAATAGTAATTAAACCTAATTAAAATGTTCTTGTTTGTGGGCCTGGGCTGGGGCCTGCAATCTAAACAACCTACAACGGTCCTCGCTAACAACTACCCATTTTCAAAACCGTTGGATTTGTTTCCACTAAAGCTTGATATTTTTAAAAATCGAATTGATTTTATTTAATTTATTTTTTTAAGGACGCCAACTCTGGAAAGGGTAAGACAACCCTAAATATGCGTACCTTACTCCGCTTTATAATAAAAGCTGAGCTCTCCTTCACTTTTGAAACCTTCGGCGGCGGTAGCAAAACCCCTAATTTCGTAACTCAACTTTTGGTCTTATGGTTCTTAGATCTTGCGTGACTTGTAGACTGTAAGTATTTATCGGTGGACTTTGTGTTTTACAGGAGGTAAGTAAATATGGCGGTGCCATTGCTGGTCCAAAAGAAGATTGTGAAGAAGAAAGAGTCAAGAAGTTTTCAAAAAGGCCCGCAGAGTGACCGCAGAGATTTCTGTTAAGGTAATATATAGTCCCCAAAAACGTTTCAGTGATTAAGTTAATAAACCATAAGTTTAGCTTAGAACTCTCTATGTTAAAATTTTGTTTGTTTTTAAAACCGTTTCAATGGAAATGATGAATATATATTGTCGCCCCAGTCTTAACTTGCATATGTAGAATGCAGTTTGGTGAATGAAAACATTTTTATCTGATTCCTAAATCTCTATGCTCGTTCAACGTTGGATGAAGGCTCATAGTAAAATTTAAAGCTTTAATGCTTATTTGATTTGGCCTTGAATATGAATGATAAGCCGATTGACACCCAGTCCTCACTTGCTTCTTTTGATGCATATGGTGAGCCAATAATCGACTATCCTGATTTTTTTGGATACAGAACTTTTTAAGTAGAAAATGTGTTAGGAATAGTGCAACCCATATATTGAATGTTGTCCCTGTGTTTACTTGAACTAGGAAGGGATATGATGATGCTTTTGACCCGCAGTCTTACTTCCATCTCTTGTGGAAATGGTGATAGAAATTGGAAGGATTTTATCTGATCCTTAATAGAATTATTTTATAATATATATTTTTTTATATTACCTACCAGATTTTGTTTTTTCTTTTTTTTTTTTTTGTTTTTCCAATATCTACATGGTTTTATAGGGTGTTTTGGGATGTGAAGAATTTATTTGACACCACAGGCAGCTCTTATTTCCGCATGGAAATGGTGATAAATCTTTCTATATCTGATCCCCATAGGCTTTAATGATTAATTTATTTGTTTTAGTGTTCTTTTTTTTTAAAAATGGACAATGGGTAATATGCAATGAGGTGTGAATGATACTTATCCACAGTTCTGCTATTGGATGAAATGAATTTTTATTCATCGCACTAACCAATCTGATCTCTGCTGCGATACATTGTCCATGCTTTTTTTATTTTGAAATTATTATGGTCTTATTTTAAGTTTTGGTTTCAGTCTTTGTACTGCAATCTATGAATGCAAGTTATTTTTTGGTTCTGAGTAACCGTGTTGATCATAAATATCACCAAATCTTTTCGGCTGAGATTGCCAAATTTTTGATAAATGTTTGTGTCATTCTGAAGCATGAAAAAGTTGTTGTGATATCTTTCTTCGTTTAACCTTTCTTGAAACTATTTGCCCAATGGTAATCTGATGTCCAGTCTTGTTTTGTAGCTGGACATTTCGTTTTGAAAGGGCAGAAAAAAATTGTGACAGTACTTTGCGACACAGTTAGCTGGCTTCTAATGAGCCTTTTCTGTTACTTTTACTACTGTTTACATTCTTTAATTTATTTTTTTGAAGAAAATCCATCTCCTTGGAACTCGCTCCATAGTTCTCTTTTGCTCTTCATATTGCCCTCAATGTATATTCGTTTGACTTTGATGGCCTGAGCTTGTGATTCTGGAAATTATTTTGGACTAATCACGGTTTTTTCTCATGTAAACTGTTATGATAGGAAAACTGGCGTAGACCAAAAGGTATTGATTTAGAGTCCGAAGGAAGTTCAAAGGATGTAACTTTGATGCCCAATATTGGGTAATGGCTCAGACAAAAAGGCTCCGCCAATTATCTTCAAAATGGCTTTCAAGAAATATTGTTGTACACAATGTTGGGGGAACTTGAGCTGTTGATGATGCATAAAAGGTGGAGTTATGGACTCTTGATCATGGTTCCTTGAAAGATCAAATTTTTCTGTCCTTTATGCTTACTGTTATATCCGTCTTCCTTGATTCTGCAGAACCTAACTGTGCTGAGATTAGGCACCATGACGTGTCAACAAGGAAGAGGAAAAAGAGATTGTGGAGCGAGCTTGCTCAACTTGATGTGTTGTTACGAACAAGCTGGCTAGAGGTTGCGCAGCCAGGAAGTAATGAATGAGCCTGACCTGGGCAATTTTTTGGTCTTGTTAGGAGTGAGAATCATGCTAGTTTGCTTACCACCTTTTGATAATTAAAAATTTTGCAATCAATGTAACTTGGTTGATATTAACATTTTTAAAGTAAGTTTTGTCTTAGCTCATAAGGTTGTTTTATGCTATAACATAATGTTTTAAATTGCATTTCGCAGTCCATTGTTGGTATAAAATTTGTTGTCTGTTTCAATGGTTTACTGGGTATGCCTTTCTGGCTGTTTAACAGCGAGCTTTCTGTTCTTGGATATTTAATATTTGAAATCTTGATCTCTGCCGAAGTTACGAATATGTGATGTCCAAGAAGGAAACAATAAAATAAACATAAGGTATGAGAAAAAAAGAACCTCGGATGGTTTCTGTTCAATAGAAACCTAATCTTTAAAAAGAAACCTTCACTGGTTGTGGAAATTGCTGATGGGTGGTTGGTTAGCTCTTGGGTTCTCATAAATAATTGATTGGGGTGCGGGCAATTCTAACTATTTAGAGACTCAAATACAATAACAAGAATGAAAGTTTGAAAAAGATAACCACAGCTCCACAACTAATAAAAATTTCTGATAGATCTGAATGCGTTCAATGTGTTTTTGCTGTATTTTCTATTTATTTATAATTTATTGTTTACAATATGTAATTTAATTCACTTTTCTTTTCTTGAATTACAGTTAAATTTCTTTTTTTTTAAAACTGTCAAATCGAATCAAATTAGTTTAATTAGTTTCAGGAACCTTGTATTTTGTGTCCAGACTGTTATACTAAACTAATGGTAAAGACTATTACATCACATTTTTAGTTGAGGTATGAAAAAAAATTTTTTAAATAAAAAAATTTGGTTTTTGGATAAGATAAATTCTTACCTTTCGATTTTCTTTCCTTCAAATTCAAACATAGCGGTAAAGGTTTCCTGGTTCAAGCTCGTATTAAACAAAACAAAATTTAAAAAAATTTTCTTGCGGTCCTCCTCTTTCACTCGGATTTGGGATAACCTGATGTGGTGTGTGTATATATATATATATACATATATGGATTTCAACAAGCTAATATTCAGTGGCCGAGGATGATAGCATCAAGGGAGGCAGCGAAACGTGGAATGAAAGTTTTATGCTCAGAACCATTAAGTGTAAAAAGTAAATGCTCAAAATCAAAGAAAAGAATTTCAATGAAGAACGTTTTTAACTAAACATACTTCAAGCGACTTCCCTAAAATCCTGACCGCGATTTAAATGCAGTGAACAGCCACTGGCTTTCTTTGATTTCTAAGTCGCCCAGTTTGTTTTTTTCAACATATAAACCCTAGCATTCGAAAATATGGGGTCATTCAAGTGGAGAATACAACACACGAGACATCCTACCTCTCTCTTCGTATTCTGAATCAAAAATTTTGAGTTTTCTCTGAAGTAGAAAACAACCATCTTCTAAATCCTGTTTGGAAAGTAGAATCAACAACACCAATACTTGATTTGTGAATTTTTTGGCTTCTTGTAATGGTTTGTTGCTTATAAGCCTTGGTGGTTTAAGAGGCCGGTTTATAAGCTCCCCTGGAACCTCTTCAACCAGAGAACATAAAAAGATTTGCAGACCTATGTATCAAAATTTTCCTGATTGCTGATTGCTGGGCTTGCTATGACTACTTTAAGTGATAATTACAAAGTGGTAATTGTTGTTTTTCCTTCTTCATTTGGGAAATTCTCAATTGAAGTTTATAATAATAAGACAATAGTTGGCAAGAAATAAAAAATCTTTGGGTTTCCCTTACATTTTCTCTTCAAAATCAATCAGGGGTTTTACATTTTTGGATAATGGAAATTATACTATTGGTATGTAAAAGAGACAGCAGGTTGATGGTCAAGAAGCTTGCTTTTTTGTGTTTTGATTCAGCGGAGGAAAAGTTTTTCATGAGGTTTCTTTTAACCAAGTGTTTCCCAAAAAAATCTTGTGGCGTTGTTTCTCTCTATTTGGCAAACTCTGTGTAATGCAGAATCTGGAAATTGGGTTTTTACATGTGTGGAAGTGGGAAGAAATATGGGGAGCAAGAAATCTTGGAGTAAAAGTATTGGACATTCAGTTTTTCCTTGGGAAGATACATACCTCTAGGATTTGCCACAATATTGGATGAAACTTGTCATGAAATTTAGATGGGAAGGCCATAGCTATATATAATCCCAGTAGAAGGCATTTTCGAACAGTTTTGCTTCTGGTATCAGATGGATCGAGGGTGGTTGCGTATGTTCAGAGTCTTGTGTCGATTTCCAAATAATTATAATTACCCATACCGACATCTGCTTCTCAATCATCTTTCTCTGTATTTTAATTTTCAAAAGATGATTATGTACATGAGAAATTGGTCCTAAAACCTGAATAAGAAATGTTTGAATTGGTCTCTTACAATAATCTCAACTTTCTACAATCTTCGACATGGGCTTAATGACAGTGGTATTCCCACATCCTCTAAAGATTCCTTCATCAACTGTTATTGTACTTCCCTTGACACAGTACTAACGCAAAGGGAATCCAAGTTTGCCAGCCTTTTACTAGCATCTCCTCCCTTTTGCTCACCTCAAACATCATGTAGAGCAAATCTTTGATCAGGAACATAACCAAATTCCTTTTTAATTTTTCTCCCAACCAATCCAAACTTTCAATATATTGTTTTGCTGAGTGGGTGAGACCCTAATCTCATGAAGAAACTCATTTTCCTTCCTTTTAAAATTTACCGCAACTTGACCCTGGTTGGTTTCGCAACTCCTTGATGCATCTCACTCTAATCTTTTCAATATATTTTTCGCTCAGTGGGTGTATCTCATGAAAGAAACTCATGTTTTCCTTCTTTTAAATTTACCCAACTTGACCCTGGTTTGTTTTCACAACTCCTCCTTTGCCTTGGCATCTCCAATTCTTATTCTAGAAGCAATCAAGTCCCATCTACCAGGCAGAAGCATATAAATTAGATAATAGAACATATGGCTGCACTACAATCCGGTTTCTAGATCAAAAATACTTCTTGCAGCTCTTTCAGCTACCTCTATAATTCGAAATGCATTCTACAAGCACTGAGGAAGGCTTAACCATATTCCCCCCCCATAGAAATTCCTTTCATAGGCATATTCTTTATCAGCTTTTCCTCCTGGCTTTCTTCCAACTTCCCCCATCTGCCTAAGAATAATCTACCATACAGTATAGTGTTGGAAGCTTTCAATGCCATAGGTTTATATAGATGAAGTATACTCAAAAAAGCACTTCCTTTTTGGGCAACATCCCAGAATGGCTACAAGCAGAAAGCAAAATCCAGTTGCATGTGATTTATCTGGGGTCTACAGCATCGCGTATCATTTTGTTAAAGAAATCAAGGCCCACATGCCTTGTCCGTGCTGTGAACTTCCAA